TGGAGACTGACAGACACAGGAGAGCAGCAAACACAACAGTGTGGTGTTGCAGTGACTGATACTCCAGCGGTATTCAGCTAACAGCGATCTGAACTCTACCAGCAGCCAGAACTCCACCAGCAACCAGGTGGGAAGGGGCTCTTTCACTGGGAGCTTGGGAGGTAAATAAACATAGACAGAGAACCATCCATCCTGCTGGTCCTTTTGATTTGACGAGGAGCAGAGACAGAGTAGCAGATCCCAGACAGGCAGTGCGAGAACAGGTTGGATATCATAGCCCAGTCAGCCCACTAGAGCTGAATTGGTGCCATTTTGCGTAAGGAGGAAAAAGCAAGGGAAAGGACTGAGCATATGCTGAGCCGGGGGCGAGCTCATTTCTGACTCAGTGAACTGCATCGAGGTAACATTCTACGGGTTCCACCCAAGACAGGTCTGGGTAGCCCTCAGACCTGACGGCCAGCAGATCAAGAACTGTAGTAGTGGTGTGTCAGGTGCCATTTTTCACACCGTGGCAAAAGCTTTAGAACTAAAGGAGACAACAGTGAACTGCTCATGTGCTGAGCTCATGAGAACTCACTGAGTTCCGTGGATTGCACTGGTCCCACAGGGAAATAATACTGAGTGTGGCATATCGTATGGGTCAAAATAGGTCCATGTGACACCCAGACCTAACATCCCACAAGTTCCGACAAGATCAGCACCACCAACAACCTAGCTATATAGGACACCTGGTGTCTCCCTAATCCTGGGACCTGCTCCAACCGGAAGTGGGAGAAAGGTTGCAGAGACAACAGTGCAGCCTCAGCACGGTATCACAGGAGGTAGAGAGTGGTGAGCCAGGATCTGGGGCTGTGGAGACCACAGTGGAAATCTGACATAAGAACCCAGACCTAGAACTCGCTGGAGGTTGTGGCACAATTGGCTGCAAGTGAAGAGTTGTATGCCAACTGCAATAAGTAAAATCAGACTGTAGACCTGTGGGTGGCATAGCTTAGAAACCTGCCCCAAGGAGAAGACTCTGCTAACCAGAAGTACAATGATCAAGAGCAAAAGAAGAGACAAAGGCACAATGAATATTACTGAAAACTCCCCTGCAAAGGAGCAAAACCCTATGCCAACCTCAGAGTTCACTGAGGAAGACATTGAGAAAATGGGGGACACAGAATTCACAAAACTCATTTTAAAGCTTCTGATCAACAATGAGAAGCACATGCAAGAGTTCAAAGAATTTAAGGAAAATTTTACATAAGCAATAGCAGCAATGTATCAAATCAAGGCTGACATATCAGAAATTAAGAACACAGCAGAGCAAATGAAAAGTACAGTGGAGAGTCTCCAAAGTAGAATGAAACAAGCAGAACAAAGAATCTCAGAAGTGGAAGGTATCTCCTGTCATCATGGGAAAGCAAACAAAAAGCTGGAAGCAGAGCTGGATCAGGCCAAAAAAAGTATTCAAGAATTGAAAGACACTATTAAGAGGCCAAATCTAAGAGTTATAGGAGACCCATAAGGTGTAGAAAGAGAAGCTAAGTTTCAAATGTATTTAATGAAATGATCAAGGAAAATTTCCCTAATCTGGAGAAAGAATTGGGAAACAAGATCCAGGAGGGACACAGAACTCCCAACAGGCTTGCTCAAAAGGGATCTTCACCAAGACACATGATCATCAAGCTCTCTTCAACTGAACATAAGGAAAAGATCCTGAAATGTGCACGTGAAAAACATCAATTGACATATAAAGGAAGGCCAATTAAGCTCACAGGAGATCTCTCCCAGGAAACTCTACAGGCAAGAAGAGAATGGAGTGACATATTCCAGATTTGAAAAGAAAAAAATCGTCAGCCTAGGATAACATATCCAGCAAAGTTTTCTTTTGTCTTTGAAAATGAAATTCAATTCTTCCACAGTAAAGAAAAGTTAAAAGAATTTGCCTCCTTCAAACCTGCCCTACAAATGATACTTTAGGATGTTCTCTTGACAGAGAAGAGGAATAGCGCCTACCAAAACCAAAGGCAAACGGGAAGAACAACCCAGTAAAAAGACAACAGGAGACTAAACCAATGAACAACCCATTGCTAAAATGACAGGACCAAAGTACCACCCCTACAGATTTTGTTTGTTTATTAATTACATTACTTTATGTGACAGAGTTTCATAGGCTCTGGGATTCCCCCAACCCCTCCCCATACCCTCCCCCCATGGTGGATTCCTCCCTCTTGTTGCAGTATTACAGTTCAAATTCAGTCAAGATTCTTTGTTTGCAAATAAATACCAAGCATAGAGTGCAGCATCTTACTGGCCGGATAAATTCAACAGTTTCTTGCCCTCCATACATATGAACCCTGAATGTAAATGGCTTAAGCTGAACGAAACATCATAGATTATTGGACTGGGTTAAAAAACAAAACCCATCTATTTGTTGTCTATTAGAGACACATTTCACCAACGTAAATCAACAGAAACTACTGCATGGGTTTTGATGTTTTTTGTTAGTTTCATCTCTTCAAAACAGTTTCTTGTGATTAAATTCTTCAGTGATCCATAGATCATACAGTAGCATCATTTTCTTCAGGAAGGTTCTTGATTTTCATTTCTTCAGCTACACATTAGTCATATAATAGCATGTTATTTAACTTCATGATGTTGTTAATTTCTTTTTTCTCCCTGTTGATTTTGTTTCATGGCTCTTCATTTAAAGGGATGTATAGTAGCTGTGTAATGGAGACTGTCATATCTAGTAACATGTCATTGAACTTCATGGCATTGTAAATTTCTATTTTTCTTTCTATTGTTGATTTTGTGTCATGACCCTTCATTTAAGGGGATGTACAGTAGCTGTGAAATGGAGACTAACATCCAGATGTGAAGATGCAATGTAGTATGCATTTCTGCTTCCAGATAAAGATGGACTCACAATGAAACTGTTTACTATATCTTGACAATAGGATGCTGAACTCTCTGCCATTGTCCATGCCCGCAATGATGGATATATGACTGTGTATGAAGAACTATATGTTAGTAATGATATAGAGGAACTAGGTGAAACTATCATAAAATGATAATAAGCAATAATAATTAAAAAGAAGCAAGATCTGCACCTTCCACCATACACAAAGATCAAATGTAAATGGATAAATGATCAAAACCAACAACCAGAAATTAACAAACTCTTGGAAGAAAAAGTTGGACATACTCTGCAAGATGTAGGCATGGACATAAACTTCACAGAAAAAACACAAAAAGCAAAAATAGTCAAGACCAAAATAAACAAATGGGACTGCATTAAACTTAGAAGTTTCTGCACAGCAAAGGAAACAATCAACAAAGTAAAAAAGCAACCAACAGACTGGGAGAAGATCTTTGCACACTACACAGGAGACAGAGGGCTAATTTCTAGAATATACAAAGAACCCCAGAACAACAACAGCACTAAAAGAAATAAGCCAGTCAGGAAATGTGTGCAGGAAATGGACAGACACTTTACAAAGGAACAAATTCAAACGGCTAACAAACATGTGCTAATCACACGTTTTAATGGGACGCAGTATGATATATCAAAACAGGTATGCAGGGTGTAATGATCAGGTGGTGAGCCATTTTAATTTATCCTCCATATTACCCCAAATCTGACTATTACAGTGTGAGAAACTAAGGGTTGGGGTGGGCTTTGACCCAGCAGTTGGGACACCAAGCCTGCTGTGTGGGAAACCTGGATTCAGTTTCCAGGCTCCACCTCTAAACACTAGCCTTCTACTAAGGTGAATCCTGGGGCAGCGATGATGGCTCCAGGGTCTGGGTTCTTGCCATCCACTTGGGAGATCTGGATTGAGTTTCTGGCTCCTATATTCCACCTTGGCCTTGGTGGATATTTGAACCATTGGAAATTGTCTCTCTCTCTCTGATAAACTAGTTTTTAAAAACTCTTCATAAAAATATTTCCATTGACCTTTTGAGGATATATGAAACATGATGACAGTTTGGCATTAAAATTTATTTAAGAAATATTTATTTTATTGTTTGAAAGGCAGCATTACAGAGAGAAAAGAGGCAGAGACCAAGAGAAGGGATCTTCCGTCAGCTGTTTCACTCTTCAGATGGCTGTAGGAGCTGGGTTGGCTGGGGCTGGTCCACACTGAAGCCTGGAATTTTTTCCAGGTCTTTTATGTAGATGCAGAGGCCTAGGTACTTGGGCCATCGTCTGCTGCTTTCCCTTAGTGTATTAGCAGGGAGTTGAATCTGAAATGGAGGAGCTAGGACTCAAACCCACACCCATATGCCAGCACCGCAGGCGGCAACGTAACCTGTTAAGCCACAGCATCAGCCCTTATTTTATGTATTTGAAAGGCAGCGTTACAGAGAGGGGGGAAATAACATGTCCTGTTGGTTCACTCCCTAAGTGTCTGCAGTCGCCAGGGCTGGACTAGGGGAAGTCAGGAGCCTAGGACGCCATCTGGATCTCCCTCATGGGCATCAGGGGCTCAAGTCCTTGAGCCGCCTTCTGCTTCTTTCCACTAGCATACTAGTAGGGAACAAAATTAGAAGTGAAAAGCAGCCAGGACTCCAACCAGCACTCAACATGGGACTTTGCTGCTTAGACAGTAGTTTAACTTGCTGTGCCACCCTGCCAGCCTCTGCAATTTGAAGTTTTTATGTAGCCATATGCATCGATTGCTTTCTTGCCAGTTTGTTCTATTTATGACTACCACTACTGTGAGTCTCATTTTGCCCCCCTTTTCTTACTTTCTGGTCATTTCGTACATATCAACTTTTTCCTTTTTAATGTTTACCCTACAAATGGAAGCTTTCATTGAGCTTTCACAAAAGTATAGACCTGTTTCTAAATCCAAAACCTCTCTTTTGAGGCCAAAAAAATGAATATCAAGTCTTCCTTAAAACTAAAAACTGTGGGAATCCTGTTCATTGTGCTCAATGGTATGATTTACTGAATTGTGTTTATCATGCTCAGCAGGGTGTATTTACAAGTGTTCACTTTTCGCTAGGCACATAGAAGTCCAGGTGTTCGGTGACCACCATGGCAATGCCGTGTACTTGTTTGAAAGGGACTGCAGTGTGCAGAGGCGCCATCAGAAGATCATTGAGGAGGCCCCGGCGGTAAGCACCCGGTAAAGGAAAGTGTCAGCTTCTCTGTGGCGGGAGCCTCATCCACTCTCACTTTCTCATCAGAAATCTTGGAAGTTAATGCCTCTCTCCCTCAAAGTCCTGTGGCTGCCTGCTTCCCAGGAGAAATATAATGATGAGGCCTCACTCTCCTGTTGGAGATGTGGAGGGGCTTCAAGTTCCAGGGCTGGACACCACTTCTGGATAGACTGGGGAAAGCTACACAGCTTGAGCAGCTTTACAGAGATGTCTCAGCATGTACTTTAAATTGTGATTAACTGGTATTAATTATGGACATGGATGGAATAGTCTGGTTAATTCAATGTATTTTATATAGAGAAGAATCTTTTGAATCTTTTTTTTTTCACTTCTGTTTCCAGTGTTCCAAAAAAATAGGTTAGTTCATCATCCTGGCTTGTGGATTATGTTATAGAAAAATGAGGATGCTTTCTTTTTAATTTTTTTTAAAGATTTACTTATTTTTATTTGGAAGACGGGTAAGGGGAAAGAGAGAGAGACATGAGACCTTAAATCCACTGGTTCACTCCCCAAATAGCCACAGTGGCCAGAGCTGAGTCTATCTGAAGCCAAGAGCTTCTTCCAGGTCTCCCATGTGGGTGCAGGGTCCCAGGGACTTGGGCAACCTTCCACTGCTTTCTGAAGCCATAAGCTGAGAACTGTATTGGCAGTGGAGCAGCTGGGACACAAACCAGTGTCCATGTGGGATGCTCTTGCCACAGGGCAGAGGACTGGCCTCTGTGTGGCCCCAGAGGAGGGCTTTGGTCTGGCCACTTCTGCTGCCTCAATGTTAGTTGTTTGTTTGTATCTCTTTGAGTCTTCTTCCTCGTTGATTTGAATTGTTATTTGGGTTAAGGCCACCTACTGGGATTGCTTATTTTCAGATTCAAGCTTTTGGACCTTGCCACTGCTAAGAGTTCTAATTCAAAGATATATACATGTTGTGTTTTGTTGATATGTATTTCCAAAAATGTCACAAAACAGATTTCTGATTAATCAGTTTGTTTTTCTTATGTTAATTTCTCTGCAGAGTGTATAATACTATTTGAAGTAAATGTTGACAAATTTCAGGAAACATTATTTAAGCAAAGACTGCTTCAATGTGTATTTATAGAGCACCCTCTTAGAATGATAAAAAAAAACTTTGATGTGTTTCTTTCAATCAGACTTTATTAATTTGGAATCTTAAGGCTTTGTCCATCATTCCAAGATCATCATTAGGATCAGCTTGCTGTGTTATTCTGAAAGGAAATGGGATCACAGGAAAGTTTTCATGTTGGTCCATGTAATTGTAGATGAGTACATAGCTATAACAGTTATCATCTAGGTACAAGGGATAAGGATTTGTAATTATGCTAAGCAGTATATGTGATTCATGCAAATTATTAGCAGAACCACTAACCGTCAGTATTTTGACAGTTGAACTGCAATAAGACAGTGTGCCTTGATGAAGTAGATGTGTTAACTTTTTTATCTTTTTAATGCAATATTTGCTACATGGAAATAGCACATTTTATTTTTATGAAAAATTTCTAGTAAGGCAAGCTTTGAATGGAGATTTACTTTAAATATGTATTTTTTTTATAGCCTGATATTAAGCCTGAAGTAAGAAAAAAGCTTGGAGAAGCTGCAGTCAGAGCTGCTAAAGCTGTAAATTATGTTGGAGCAGGTATGGTTTGTTAAAATTTGCTTCTAACGGAAGAGTTGAAACAGCATTATGTTTCAGAAGGCAAGAAAAAATATAGTTTGAATCAATGAGTTTTTACTTGACTATAACCATAGGGAGAAATACATTCTTTAACATTTTTACCTATTTATTTAAGAAGCCTAGAACAGAGGTCATCCATCTGCTGGTGTACTCCCCAGATGTCCCAAAGGGTGAGGTTTGGGACAGGCATTGTAGCTCAGGGCATTAAGCTGCTACCTGTGACACTGACATCCCACAGGGACATCAGCTCATCTCAGATGCTCCATCTCCCATCCAACTTCCTACTAATGTACCTGGGAAAGCATTGAGTAATGACCCAAGACCTTGGCTCTTTGCATCCATGTGGGAGACAACTGGCCAAACTCCTAGCTTCTGGCTTTGGTCTGTCCCAGCCCTGGCTTTTACGCGTTTTGGGAAATGAGCCAGCAGATGGAAGATAATTGCTCTGTTTGTCACTCATGCTCTCCCTCTCTATATAACTCTGCCTTTCAGAAGTGGATTTTTTTTTTTTTAATTATGAAAAGGTGAAAGGAAAGGCAGACCAAAGCTAGGAGTCTGGAACTCAATGCAATTCTCTTGTATGGATATAATGGATCTGAACACTTACGCTGTCACTGCTGCCTCCCAGGAGTCCCATTAGCAGGAACCTGGAATCAGAAGTTATTCTGGGACTCAAACCCAGGCCCTCTGATATGGACACAGGTATCCCTGTCAGTATCTCAGTCAATGTATCAAACTTCTGCCCCAGAAATAGATTCTGTTGAGGCCCTCCTTGTATACATGTTAATGTTCGTATTCATGTTTATTTTAAATTTTTGTTTGAAAGGGTTACAATGAGAGGGAAAGAAAGAGAGAAAATGTCCATCTGTTGATTTACTCTCCTAATGGCCACATCTACAGGAGCTGAGCCAGGCTGAAGCTGGAAGCCTGTATTATCTGGGTTGGCATGCAGAAAGCAGGGGCCCAAGCACTCAGGCCACTTCCAGTGCTTCTCCAGGTAGGGAGTTGGATTGGAAGTTGGTGCAGGCAGGATTTGAACTGGAACTTATACAGGATGCTAGCATCATAGGCAACAATTTAATCTATTGTGCCACAAAGCCAACCCCACATATATGTTTAGAATAAAGATTTTACCAAACAGTACTTGGCTGTTATTATATCTGATGAGTTTTTATACCCTTTGGTTCTATTTTAAAATACAACACTGGGCCTGGAATGATAGCCTAGTGGCTGATTGCTTCCCATGTACACACCAGGATCCCATAAGAGTGTCAGTTTGCATCCTGGCACTCCACTTCCCATCCAGCTCTCTTCTTGTGGCCTGGAAAAGCAGGAGTGGACGGCCCAAAGCCTTGGGACCCTGCACTTGCACTGGAGACCCAGAAGAAGCTCTGCTGGGGCAACTTGCAGAATGAACCAGCAAATGGAAGATAGTTTGTCTCTGTTTCTCGCTGTATATCTGCCTTCCCAGTTAAAAAAATAAAAACTTAAAAAAAACAATATATCACTAAATTAATTTTCTTTTTAACTTTGTACATTTTAAATTTACTAAAATATTCTTTTATTTATTTGAAAGCCAGAGTTGCAAAGAGATAGAGAAAGAGATATAAGAGAGCATCCAACTCTGTTTCACTCCCTAAATAGCTTCAATCACCAAGACTGGGCAACACCAAAGCCAGGGGCTGCATTCAGGTCTCCCATAGGGGTGCAGGAGTCTGAGTACTTGGGTCATTGCTGATTTTCCTAGACAATAAGCAGGGAGCTGGGTGGGAAGTGAAACAGCCAGAACATGAACTAGCACTCATATGGGATGCTGCCTTTACAAGTGGTGGCTTAAAAGTACTGTGCAGCAACATTGATCCCAAAACTTTTATATTTTAGAACAATTTTTTAAGATTTATTTTTATTTTAAATGCAGGTTTTTACAGACAGAATAAGAGAGACAGAGAGAAAGGTCTTCTATCCACTGGTTCACTTCCTAAATGACTGCAACAGCCTGAGCTAAATCAATCCAGAACCAGAAGCCAGGAGATTCTTCCAGGTCTTCCATGTTGGTGCACGGGCCCAAGGCCCTGAGCCATCTTCCCTTGCTTTCCCAGGCCACAAACAGGGAGATGGATTGGAAGTGGAACAGCTAGAACCCGAACAGGCGCCCATATGGGATGCTGGTACCAGAGGCAGAGGATTAATGCTCTATGCCACTGTGCTATTCCCTTAGAACAAATTTTAAGTTCCTTGCAAAATTGAACAGAGTAGAATTCCCATACACTTCCTCCTGCCTCACCCTGTACACAGACACTCTCTCTCTCTCTCTCTCTCTCTCTCTCTCTCTCTCTCTCTCCCTCTCCAGCACTGCCTGTGTTCTTGTACCACAACAATTCATTTGTTAAAATTACTGAGCCTTACATTATCACTCATTATCACTAGCCAAATCATTATCACTCAAGTTCATAGTCTATGCCAGGGTTTACTCTTGATATTGTGGGTTCTGTGGGGTTTGTAGACTGTTTAAGTGTATGTGTCTGCCATGGTAGTATGATGTGGAATAGTTTCATTGTCCTTAACCTCCAGTGTACTCTGTTGATTCATCCCTCTCTATCTCCCTAGTCCCTGCCCCTGCAGGTGTTTTGACTACCTCCATAGCTTGGCCTTTCCCAGAATGTTATACAACTGGAATCCTACAGTGTCTAGCCTTCCCAGACAGCCTTCTTATTCTTAGTGCTATGCACCAATATCTTCTCCCTGAGAGCTCATTTCTTTGTTACAATGAATAATCTTCATTTTAAAATGTATTGGATTTTATCCCTTTACCTACTTATAGACATCGTAATTGCTCCCAGATTTTGACAATTATGAATAAAATGACAATAAGCATTCATATGCAGGTTTTTATTTGGGCGTAATTTTTCAGTTCATGCATGTTAGTTCCATGGAAAGTGATTGCGGAGTTATATGAAGTGTTGCTTAGTTTTGGAACACACTGCTGAGCTGCTTTCCAGAATGGCTCTACCATTTTGTACTTTAGCCAGCAGCAACTGAGGGTGCCTGTCACTGCAAGTCCTCCCCAGTGTTTGTGACCAGCAGCTTTGGCTTTGGGTCATTTGCTATTATGTTTGTTTTAATTTTCACTTGACTAATGATATGATGCTGAATATCTGTTCCATCTAGTAGATTTTTTTTTTCCATCTGTATAGCGTCACTGATAAAGTGTCTATTCTTGACTTTCGTCCATTTTTAAAAATCTGGTTGTATTTTCTAATTGGTGAGTTTTGAATAATAATCTTTTACCTCTCATTCTGGTGCCTGTCTTCTCATTCTCTTGATACTATCTGTTACAAAGAAGATTTTTATTAAACCCAGTTGCTCAGCTCTTTCTTTCATGGGTTAGGCCTTTAGGAAGAAAAGTCATCATGATACCATTTAATTAGGTATCCTGTATTTTCTTGTAGAAGTTTAGCAGCCTCAAAAAATTAAAACAAACAACAAAAAAAAGAAGTTTAATAGCCTTACATACATTTAGATGTATTATCCATTTTGAGTTAATTTTAGGAAAGGAAATAAAGTTTAGTATGTAATTTTTGTTTTTTTGCCTGTTTTTTTCGCACACCATTTTTGGAAAAGGCTGTATTTGTTTCATTGTTTTGCCTTCCTGACGTTGTCAAAGGTTAGTTAAGAGTGGGACAGTATCGGTCTAGCAGTTAAGACGGTGATTAATTTAACTTCCTTCGACATCGGGTTATGGTTCAACCCAGCCGTGACTCCTGACTTAGCTTCCTGCCAGAGCAGACCCTGTGGGGCAGCGCTGCCGCCAGTGTGGGAGCCCGGCTTGAGTCCCCAGCTCCCCGCTTCTCCTAGTCTGTCCTAGCCGTCAAGTACATTTGGAGAGCAAACTAGCACATGGGAGCTCTGTCCCTCTTGTCTCTGCCTCGCGAATATTTTAAAACCATTAGTTAAGTATATTAATACGCATCATTTCTGCAGTCTGTCCTATTGAATTGATGTATTTGTTCTTTCAGCATTACCAAAATATTTTGGACTATGGTAACTTTTTCGTAAGTTTTGAAGTTGGGCAGTGTCATTCTTCAGCTTTTGTTTTCTTTTATTCTTTAAGATTTATTTATTTTTATAGGAAAGTCAGATATACAGAGAAGAGACAGAGAGGAAGATTTTCTATCTGATGATTCACTCCCCAGGTGGCTGCAATGGCCTGAGCTGCACTGATCTGAGGCCAGAAGCCAAGAGCCTCTTCCAGGTCTCCCATGCCGGTGCAGGGTCCCAAGGCTTTGGGCCATCCTCAGCTGTTTTCCCACACCACAAACAGGAAACTGGATGGAAAGCTAGGCTGCCAGGATTAGCATCAGCACCCTTATGGGATCTCTGAACATGCAAGACAAGGACTTTAGCCACTAGGCTATGGCACCGGGCCTTATTTTCTCTTATGCTTAAGTAGGATTTCTAGTATGAGGCTAAAAAGAAGTGGTAAGAAGGAACATCTTGTTTTGTTCCTAATTATGGTGGAAAAGCTTCTAGTTTTTCACCATTAAATATTATATTAGCTATAGCATTCCTGTGGATTCATCTCTCAACTTGAGGAACCTTTCTTCTGTTCTTGGTTTGTAGAGAACTTTTATTGTGAATGAGTATTAAGTTCAAAGCTTTATCTGCATGTATTAAAATGAATTGATTTATTGTCAAATATTGAACTAATCTTTCATATCTGAGGTAGTTTCTGCTTGGTCTTGGTGTAGACTCCTTGTCTATATTATTGGGTTCAGTTTACTAGTATTTTGTCGAGGATTTTTACATCCATTGATATTCCTGAGACATAATGATCTATGGTTCTTGTATCTGTCTGGTTTGGGTATTAAACTATGCTGGTTTATAGACTGAGTTAAGAAGTGTTTTGTCTGCTTTTCCTTCTGAAAGAAATTATAGAGTTTTATTTATTTATTTATTTATTT